CACACCCAGCACACCCAGCACACCCACACCCACACCCACACCCACACCCACACACACACACACACACACACAGAGACACACACACACACAGAGACACACATTCATTCATTCAGGCTTGGCAACCTTGATTACTTGATGCGAAAACAGAGTGCAGCAACCATGCAGGTATGCACTTTAGGGTGGTCACTTCTGAAGGCCACTGCAAAACAACCGCTTTGAGGGTACAATTTGGGCGGCCATTGCAGCAGGTCCACACACACACACACACGGACAAACGAAGATGGACGTACAGTTACAGTGCTGTGCACAACTTACTGAGTATACAGTGTCGGGTGCCTGCCAACGTGTTCAATCTGTGATATCCCAACATCATTCGACCAGCATCGCACAGTGAGTAAATCATTGCTGCATGGTGCACACACACACAGTCAGAGCGGCCAGGTCAGACATATTTCCATCATGTTGAATCAGGCAGCACATCACGAGTATACCCGCTGGACTGGACAGTCCATAAAACAGTTCAGGCCAACATTCGCACTCGCACATGCCATGGCTGCAACCGGGAGATTGCTCAATTAAAGGTGAGCAAATAGTTAGCATGGCGATGCAGTCCAGGCATTTGAGCCCAGGTCGAACGTGCTGCAGCTGCTGTTTTGCACCAACCCGCTAAGTCTGCTAAGTAGCAGGATTCGGGCATGCAGCGTGTCTACAGGGTCAGTTGAAATGCATCTGGGGGGCTGTTTTCCAAAGAGCCTGCCAGGCAAAGCAACTCTGCGGGCAACGCGGGGCCTTGGCTCTGGATTACGAGGCGGAAGTGCTGGGAATAAGGTCCCACCTTAAGCGTTCGTTCCATACCACATCGAGGCGCAGCTCCACTTGTCGGAGTTGAAAACGGAAGAACTGCAGAAGAGCTGCAGCCACCAGATGCAAGAATTGTCCATGCAACGCCAACTGGCATCGTCGTTGCAGCTGCAGCTGGAGGAGAGATCAGAAGTTGAAGCAGTATCTGAGAGTGCCCAGCCCACCCGACTCCGTCTCGCACAGCTAGGTCGTGCATGGTCGTGTGGCGTGTCGGGATGCAGGACGAAGAGCGGAAGAACCAGACGTCATCTCAGATACATCTCGAGGCGAGGCGGCATTGGTAAATCAGCTACAGGGATACTTTGTACCAGCACCCTTTCTTGGTGTCAAACTGCGAAGCCCATGATCAAGCTCGAAAGGTGCAAGCAAAGGATCTGGAGATTCAAAGTCTTCGTGCCTGGCTTAGTGGGTCCGAATGTCTGGGACGTGCTCAGTTCTAGGTCTGCGAAGCTCGCATGGCGGAAATAATTTGCTTCGGCCTCGCCGAAGCTGGAATCCAGCTGAGGGATGATAAAAACCCCGAGAGCATTTTTTTAAGTAGACGGGTCCGTACTTTGAGAGCAATCGAATTCCTTGTAACACGATAAGAGTAAAAACAAACGATAACGAATGTTCGGAACATTGGCTCAGATCATACAGTCCCAAAGTCCTGTAAAGCGATACGAGTAAAATAACACGACAACCATGTTAAGGGTCAAGCAAATGGGTCCCGGGTGGGTGGGTGTTGGGGTGTTTTCACGCATCCTCAGCTGAGTGGCTGAACTTCTGCGGAACGAATTAGACGCAGTCAACGTCCGTCGAAGGCGGGAATCTTGGCGGAGCGGCTTGTGATCCCTCGCAAGAGCCTGCTGCAGTCCGCACTGCCCATCTGTAGCATGCTGTAGCCGTCGATATTCTCCATGGAACCGTTCCCTCGTGGACACCGCTGCTCGTCCGGTGCCACGCGCCATGTTGCATGGCTTTCTGATTGCATGGCCTTTCAAGTCGCATGGGACCCACATACTCACTGCCAGTGTCAAGCGGCCCGGCGGCCCCATCGCAGTGAGAGCCTCCATGCTCGAAAGACATCACTCGACAAGATCCAGGTTCATCCGTTTGACCCCGTGTGGCTAAGCATGCCTCAGCAAAGATGAAGCGGCGAGCAGTCAAGGTTTCAGTTCGCATGTTTTCTTCCAGCTCAGCACCCGGATCTACGCAAGTTGCAAACAGAAAACTACAGCTATGCATGCCACGAACTCGCTCACTCGACGAGAGCGAAGGAAGACTCGCCAGAGGGCTGGCCGGGACATAACGCTTGTAGAGCGCTATCAAGAAACAGATTTGTTATTCTTGTGTGGCAGGTCCGACCTTTTGTTGAGAGAAGTCAAGTTGTTTCTTATCCCTCGCAAGAAGTTAAACTTCTTTTGCGCCGCTGTGGCACTTGCCATGGCAGTAGTTGGATGAGATCCGTTTCGGAAGTCATTTGCATAGCACCGGCTCGTGATGCATGCAGGATTTCCACCAATTGTTTGTTTCAACCCGCTGTTGGAAGTGCGGTTGTTGACTCGGCTCGTCGCGAGACAGCAAACACCTCGACATGTAAGTCTGGCATAGCACAGAAACTTGACGCAAAAGTGCAGTTGCAGAGGTGCTGAGGTGAGCGCTCTAGCTCATCACGATGCCGCCTCGAATAACGAGGAATTGGCACAGGCCGAGGTTGGCATCATGCAAATGGAGCCTCACTAGCGTTGAGCGCGGCAGTCCCAATGGCTGCAGGCTGCAGCTTGCCAAGTGCTGAGGGCAGAAGTGGCTGCAGAGCAGGTGGTCCTTCTCCAAATTGTCATGCAGGTGGTTGTCCAGTCGAACGTGTGAATTGCAGGACAAAGTCAGGCAAGCACACGAAGTCCTGCAAACTGTTGCAGGAGGCTGGAAACGGATTAGAATCCGTGTCTGGTTTGGTTATTGGTTGCTTAAACCCTGTTGGAGCCACCTGCAGGCAGCACGCAAGGTTGTTTGCGGTCTTGTAGTGAGATATGTCGGGTGTGTTGCAGGAAAATGCTGCTTGAAGTGCTGTCAGGTCCACCTCAATCGGCTGCTGCGCGGGCAGTCTCTGCTGCTGAACGTTGCAAGATATTCGAGGTCATTGCCTTCATGGAGTGTGTTTAAATGAAATATCTGTAAGAGATCATTCTTCAAACGACATGCTGCAAGGTCAGCGAGATGCTGACACTGTGTAGCGGTCCAAGCACAGTTTGCTCAAATGTCACTAGCTTTGCCAACTTGTCGAGCAACGTGGAACACGTGCCGCGCAGGCGCGCGCTTGTTCCATCGCAGTAAACGCATCATCAAGAGATCCTGTTTCTTATGTTGCCGGAGAGGTTGAGAAGTTGACAGCCAAGCAGCTTTGCACAGAAAGCAGGCAGCAGCGCAGGGCGACGCGGCACTGGCGTTGGCGCTTGGCGGCCACCCTCCGCTGGAGATCACTCAACTTCGAAGCGAAGGCCAGGGAAAGGCCTTGGTTGGCTAGCTGCCTCAGCTTATTTGCTCCGCAAAGTGCCAGATGGCTCCACGCTCTTGCATGCGGCTGCGGCTGGTGGATCGCTACTCACTGCACTGGGCGCACTTCGTTCCGCCGGTGTGCCGCGACAATACGAGCTCCTCGGCAGTGTATGCCTGACTGATGAAGACGATAGACTGTTCTAGGGAATCGGGGGCGGCTGGTCTATTCAATGTGTCGTTGCGCAGAAGAGCTTAGCCGTGGTTTGCGCGCCGTCTGAAAACCTAATCAAACATGTCTCTTAGGAGCCTGATTTTCCTGCCTTCGGCATATCCGGCGACTGGCCTTAGGACCCTTTCCGCAATGCTGCCGTGTGCCCGACCTTTCCTCCACTTCTATCTGTTCGAGCAGAGTTTATCCTAGCATACTATCCAGAGCGAGGCACCAACATTCGAAATTGCTTCCTTCTGCACTTATGCCCATCTTGTGAATGTAGTGGAACAATCGGAAGCCCACGCCCAGGAGTCTGATGCAGTTGAGTTGGTTGTGCTAAAGACACGGGCACGGCTTGAGCGGTTCCTCTGCCGTTGCAACCATTACCAGGCTTTCAACCAGTGCCACCGCTTTTGACCAAGAGACCCATCAGCGGCTTTTGAGTTGTATCTTTCGTGCAGTAGGTCGGACGCACTCCAAGGCTTCACAATGCTTGCAGCCTTCAGGTTGACAAGGGATCTCCACAAGCAAGCAAGTTCTCACAACGATGCCACTACCTGTCTCTGCCGTGCGGCTGTGCTACGCTGTGCTTACCGGGGCGGTGCCACGGGCTGGGGATGAAACTAGACTGCTGTAGGTGTCGGGCCTGTTCACCGTCCTTCCTCAGCTTGGGTAAGATCTCAGGCACGATCTTCAACGCGAACTGCTTCGACACGAGACGCCGGGCACGATTCGTTACAGGTTGCCGCAGAGTTTTTATGTTTGTTCACCCCTTCCCGCTACCCTTTGGGTCCGTATCAGTTGAGGCATCTGTCCTTCGTCAATGCGCGTGACTGCGAGCAGCGGTCCGCACTGCTTTGCCACTGCCAGTCGGCAGTGACTTCTGCCCAAAGCGTGGCGGCGTTGCTGGAACTCCAGGCGAACCCATCCTTTGAGGACTGGGCTTGTGCGGTGTACCCAGCAGGACATGGAGGATTATGTGGGATGCCATGCATGCCAAGTTGATGTTCATCGGTTTAGCTTTGCATTGGTGTGCGCAGGACGGCCACGGCTGCACACCCTTCCTGGCCTGCGCCACTCGTGGAAATTGCCGCATGGTTCCACTTCTAGCACATTTTGGCAGCGCTGATTCATGTCTAGTGTCCTCGAATTTCTGGTAGATGTCCACTGATATTGATCTCGATGTCGACTAATGACTAGCCAATGCACGAAAGTATCAACATGTTCTCACGCAGGCTTTCACGGCAAGGTTTTAGTCCGTGCAACCTTTTTAACCTCTCGGTGGGTAGCTGTGGCTGCAAATTGTGTAGCCCTGTCGGTGAGTAGCCAGGGAGCACCAGATGGCCTCAAGTTTTCCTGCCATGACTTGCGCTGTACAAAAACTTAAGGCGAGGTCATGATGTTGCTGCTTCGAGCAACAGGCACGCGTGCGCTTTGTAGTGGACGAGAGCTCTCGCAGCTTTGACTGTTTCTTTCAGTATTTCCGTGACGGGTGCTTCATACCGATGCGCGTCTTGGTGAAAGGAGGAGCTGTTCTCAGAGCAGCTCGACTAATCTTCAGGCCTGACGAATTGCGAACAATTCCTTTGCGCCGTTTCGCTCTAGACACGATGACAATGTCAGTGTCAGAGCAAGTAAGGATTCGGACGAGAATGGCTGGACAGCGCTACACTCCGCAGCCTCAAAGGGCCATGCAGATGCTGTGCAGCTACTGCTGCAGGCCTGTTCACATGGCATCAGGTTTTACGGCTTGTGCCACTGCCATAGAAAATTACCTGTGTTGACGTTTGGTTCGTCGGTGTTGTGCTGCTGCTGCTGCTGCTGCTGCTCCTGCTGCTGCTGCTGGCGGCAATGGCCATACATGGCAACCCATAGTCGTAGCCCAAAGAGTAGGGAAGAGTTTCCCAGCCTTGAGTGCTTCCATTGCCAGTGGGGGCACCAAGGGCGGAAACGCATTCTACTCCTAGTGATTTGGGCCTGCTTCAAGAGATTTATGCACGAGGCTGGAAGGAAGCATTCTTGAGCCTTCGCTCTGGACAAATGTGTTGGAACAGTACGGGGCTTCATGTCTATCCTTGTCGATATTCAGCTGTGGCTTGGAGCTGAAGAGTGCCATCATGCGAACCCTCAGATCTGACGCTATCAATCGTGTTTCTATCGGCGCTGGGGTGAACCTGCCTGCCGCACCATTGTACTGTTCATGCGCGCCAGGTCAGTGCAGATGCTGCGACTTGGTGGCAGATCATGCGCAGACCTGCATCGCATGCAATGCCAGGGTTCTGGCCTTCAAACAGGGGCTAGGATCCGGCTAGGAATCATTGACGGCCGCAGCTGAAACTTCACCCCAAAAGAGCTTGCCGATCTCTTCAGTGCTCAAAGCACATGAGATCCAGGAGCTGCCTGACGCGGCTGGCCGCCGAGCAGCCGATCTTGCTCGTTGCGTTCCTGGGTTGAAATAGCAAACGCGAGCTGTTTGCCAACCTTTGAATTCGTGAGCAGTCCATGCGTTGACAGGAAGACGTCCTGAAGCTCCTGACGCAGCAAGACGAGGCTGAAGCTCTCGTTCTGATTATCTTTGAGTCTGTCGTTGAAAAGCAGATCAATGACACAAATCATTGGGACAAATGTCATGCAAGGCCTGGGATATCCTTGGACCGTAGGAGTAATGGGCACGACGAAGGTCGAGACTACTGCTGCTGGGCAGTCGCAGTACTTTGCCTCAGTGTCTGGCCTTCTGCATGGGCTTGGTGAGACACATACATAGCTTATGACCAACGACGGCAGCTGCTCAGGCCGCGGATGCCGCGCCAGGAGAAGGAAGAGGACCCCACACGTTGCGAACGCATGGCAAGTTCCGCCTCGTGGTTTCAATTCAACAATCGGGAGGAAGCCGTCGAATGCAGACAGGAAGAGACAGATCCTGAAACGAGGCAAGCGGGAAGCTCCCACCACGCTTTGCCTGCACCTTAGTCATTACATCCTGCTTAGGGAGGCATTCCGACAAATTCACTTCATGCGAGAGCCTCTTCTTGCAAGTCGCATATAGCCACTCGCCATTCGGTTATTTTCAGCCGTTTATCTGACAAAAAGTCACTGGTCCTCCTTTGCAGGAATCTGGCTCCAACCAGTCCGACAAGTCCAAGCAGCCCGGGCAAATATACCGAGGACGCATCACACCACACCTGGTCATGGCACTGGATGTGCAGCTAGAAGATGTGGAACTGTTCGTGCACAGGCCACACTTGCCAGGCTTGTCTGCCACAGTGCCACATCAAGATTACACCGTTCAGGAGTCCGGCGATGAGTGGTAGTGGGTCACCTGTGCCAAGGACAGACGAAAAAAGGTGTTGTCGGACACGGAAGCGCAAGATGCACGCACAAAACTGCGACATGCGCGGAAGACGCCGATGGGATGGCTAGCAGCTTCGCAGCGGATCGACTTGAAATGAACATGGAGTTGCTGCCCAGGTCGTTTTGCACATCCTCGTGAGCAGCATCTCGTTCGTTGTACATGTTCCTGTTCCTCAGCATGGCTAGCTTTCGCCGGTGCATGAGGCACGTTAGAAGCCTTCTGCGTCCATGGATGGGGAACTGCGAAATGCAGCTGCCGGGCTGGCTACCCCGATGCTTTGCGAGGCTGGCGAAGCCACACAGGAAGCCAAGCGATGACGGTTGCATGAGATGGGACTCCGACCGCAGCCGCTGTCAAGGGGGGTCAGCGACTCATAGAGCCGCAGGCCCCGGAGTGCCCTGCCAGACAGCCTGGAAGGCGACCAGAGACGCGTCCTCACCACGCAAGCCGTGGAAGACCACCTGACCTCACAGGAGGTCGACGGGCAGGTCGAGGCCCAGACTCCGCTCTTGTCAAAAGACGAAGCCTCGCAGAAGACACTCGCTGCTCCAGAGCTGGCAGAGCCTGTGCCAGGCCCAATGGAGGATGCTCCAAGTCTTGGGCGAAGCTAGAGCTGGGACTCCAGCAACAGAAGCCGCGCATGTTCCTGCAGAGCATGCTCCAGCAGCAGCAGCAGGTCATGCTGAGCCAACAGCCGGAGTTACTGAAACAGGTGGCGGCCCAGAAGGAGCAGGCGGCTGCCAACAGGGAGCAGGCGGCTCAAAACAGAGAGCAGGCAGCGCAGAACAAGAGGATGTTCGAGCTCATGCAGTCAGAGCAGGAGGCTGCCAACAAGCAGCAGGCAGCGGCCAACAAGGAGCAGGCAGCTGCTAATGCAGGAGAGCCGGCAGCAGCGTGCTGTGGCTGCTGCACAAGGCCCTCAGGCACTGCAGGTGAAGCACGAAGACCTGGAGATCTGCACGGAAGATCATGGAAGTCTTCGACAGGTCGCAGAGCGGCGGAAGCGTGAAGAATGATAATGCACTTCGAGCTGGTTTTTTTCTGGGTGCACGTTCTCCATCAGGTTGGCCAGGACGAAGACAATGTAGAAGCGGAAGTGAGGGAGAAACAATGTATGGCGGCGGTGTCAAAGACAGTGACTAATATCTAGCGAAAATGAAAGCTGGGAGCATCGCACGTCTCGTGAGAAGGCATTCATGTATGAGTTCAGTCCGAAGCCGCCAACCCAGAGCCGGAGCACAATGGCTGTTGCAAGCCATGATGGAAACATTGCGCATTGCTCAATGTAAGCCGATGGCAATAGAGCGAAAAAAAGAGTCGCCGGCCAGTCGTCATGTCCACGCAGTGGAAGCTAAAACTGTGGGTCATTGAAGCAGGCCTTGAATCTTCATAGACCCGCACCCGGCGAAGGGTGAGAAATGAAGCAGGAAAGCCTCGGCAATTGCAAGCCGGCATGGACTGAAAGACCCTTCCGCCTGCTTTATGGGCGAGACGACATGTTGGAGACACAGGGCCAGCAGAGCCCTACGACTTACCACGCACCACAGTTTGTGCGGCAGCAGTTCCAAGCCTGCCTCGGTGAACACAACCTTCGGCAGCTCATCACTGATGAGACTGATGAAGATGACCTATCTCTGCTGCAGAGTCCTGCTTGGAAGGCTTGACGGGCGTGCCGGCACTGGTCAGGTCGTTTCCCCGAAACCCCCTCGGCAGCATGTCCCCTCCGTGGTTCGTGTAAAGAAGGGAAATTGTGGGGGCTTTGACGTACGAGATCGTGGCACCGGTTTTACGCAAGGCGTGCAACGATACGGAGAAGGTGGGTTTCACTTACCTCGTGACACTGCGTGACCCGGATGGCGTGCCGCTCCTCAAAGCTGGCAAGGCCAGTTGTCCATTGAAAGACAACCAGAGGTTCGCCCTGTCCAACATCAACAACCGATACATGCGAAGTTGTGCTATGTTCCGTGAGGGCTGTAGTTGGGACTTGGAAGCGGTGCTGCTGGACGGCAGCGACGCATCTGCTTAGTTGTGCGAACAGTACGTGCGCGACGAGACCCTTTATACGAACCAGGTCTGGGCTCACCGCTGGACTCGGCAGGGCTCGTCAGGCTTCTGGGAGGTCTACTTGCTGCAAGCACAGGGAGATCTCACTTCCCTGCGGCAGCAGGCGAGCACCATGTCCTACAAGGACCTGTCCCGCATCGTGGCTAGCCGCAGGCATTCCTTCTTGAATGCCGCCCCGGGCTTCTTCAAGAGCTCCAGCGACTCGAATGCCCTTGAGTCCAAAGGCTCTGACAAGAGGTTGCAGCAGTACAGCTATGGCTTTTGCCGACGAGCCGGTGGGCAGCAACAGCAGCAGCAGCCGCCTGAATTTTTCAGGCTTGCGAGGGGCCGACCCATATGGCCTTGGACAAGGAACACCAACGAGGCCTACCCGAACGAGCAGCGGATGCTCCCGATGCACTTTATCCGGTTCCGTGATCTACCAGCACACCATCTGGCAAAAATCCGAAGAGTCCTCCCTGACTCAACCGAAGGACAGACGACTCGATAAGCCCGGTTTCAAGCCAAGGCCGCTGCTGCTCAGCCGAAGGCTTCGCCCAAGGCGACGCCGAAGATTCGGCGGAAACCGTCTGCCCGATATCTCTCTCCTGAGCTGGAGTGCTCTTGCCCGTCCCTTTTTCAGTGTCTTGCTGACTGCCGACTGTGAATTTCAACAGGGCTCAGGGCCGAGAGCAGCGGAAGAAGACTGTAGCAAACATATTTCCAAAAACCTGGTAATGGCATCTGGGCAGTCAGTGCGTCTTGTATCATTGCAAAAACGACGGAGCATGTGCGCAACATCCAAAGCATCGAACATCCCCCATGTTTTTAGAGGTATAGGATGATCCACTAGTATTACTGTTTCAACTGCAATGTGGCAGACATGGAGCTTTCTGGTCGGACTGCTTTTGGGCCCCGCCGTGGCCAAGCGTTGCACCAAGCATCTCAAATCCTTGAAGGCCGGGATGCAGCCGTCGCATGCTAACCACATATTGCTACCTGAACAAGGGCTGGGACGAGTTGCGGTGACAAACAAACATGGCAGGGCGACAGGAAAGGGTTGTGGGGAGTGGGCCGAGGCGGGTGATGCTTGCTCGGCAACTTGGAGAGAACTTACGGCTTCTGGCCTGAACGGAGACGAAAGATTGGCAGGCCTGGTGATGCTTCACGCGATGATGACGCTGAGTGCCTGCCTGCCCTTTCCTCGCACAGGCCCATTACTACTCCCAACGCAGCCGTCGATTGGCTATGCCTGGGTGCATGCCCAGCACAAGAAGTATTTCATGTCGAAGAAGGACGCGTCCAAAGAGCTCGAGATGCTCAGCTGTAATCGGTCGGCTGAGTGGTCGGCTTCAGCCAATGACTTCAAGGGCCTGTTGTTCTTGAGTCTGATCCGCCGTGCCCTTTGGCTCGAGTTTAGGGGTTTTGGCGCACTTACCGCAGCCTGCAGCCTTCAATTTGTTCCACCCTGTCGAACACATGGCTGCTCGACGCTCCGGTGTGGCTTCGGATGCAAAAAGCATCAGGTGCTGGATCCTGCCCGAGACATTGTAGGACGTCCCGAGTTCGTAACATGTCCAGGCTTTCTGAACCCAAAGCGACCATCGCGTTTGGTGGCGCTCGCTCATGACTGTTGCTGCTTGCAATAAGCGCCGAGGCACTGGTGTTGGTCGCAGCGAGCTTCCTGGCCCTTCAGGATCGACCGGCACATGTCAGAGAAGCCCGCAAGTTCCAGTCTGCACCGCGAGTCATATGCTTCTGCCTTTTCATGGCTTTCCGTTCCTTTCCGGTTCCTCCCAGGCCTCCGCATCCGGTATGTTCTTAACTGAGACTCGAGGGCGGGAGTGGGGCGAGAATGCGCGACTGAACAGTTGTGGCGCCAGTTTTGTTTCGCAGGCCTTCGTCAGCCCATCCAAGGAGCACGGCCTCCGCGGGTCAGAGGACTGTAGATGGATTTGAAAGCTCCTTGAGGGTCTGCTGGTTACCAGTGCTTGGCAATGGTGCTGTGTGTGACGCAGGAAGCAGCAAAGCTCGCAGCAGGAGTTGTTCTGGCAACCCCAGAGGCGGAGTGTTGCCGTGCACCAGATCTGTTTCTACTATGACCTCTGCAAATCCATACCATTCAGGGGCCTTTGCGGAGCTTATTCTCGCAGCTATGCTCTGTCAATGGACCCTGTCTGAAATTCGAGCACAAACTTTGGACATCGTTGCTTCCGCCCCTACCAATCCTTTGCGACTTGAATCTGGACCGCGGTTTGATCCTCGTCGAAATTTTACCACCAGCCCTAATCTGTGTTCTCTACCAACCCGTTCGCTACAGGTGGAGGCGAGAACGTTTAAACCGCGATGCTTATCACACGCACCACTTTGTGGCATGGCCTGCACCTGCGCAACTGCGACACCTACAATCTGTTGCATCCCATCCTATATATCTAGCAATATCTTTTCAATACGATAGCCTAGACAGATTCTACACATAGACAAGTAGATACATGCAGACACGCAGCTCCGATGTCGTTTGAACTGAACTGCTGCTGATGTCTGGAACAGTCGACTGAGTCGACTGAGTCAGAATGCAGGATATGTTCTGCTTCTGACTCGTACTGCTATGAAGGTTGCTGCGCGCTAAGTTTCCGTCCTTTCTAGGGCGTTTGTGGAATTGAGGGTTGCGTCCGTGTCCTTCTATCCTTGGCTCAGCAGTGTCGCAGCAGCATTTGGAATTTGTTGCGATGTTGCTGGCAGTAGTGCTTGATGAATATGCTAAGCCGTGAGCTGATCTGCAGGCGGCGCATGCGCGCCTGCCAGAGGTGCCAGAAACTTGCCGCATGATCATTCATGTGCATGTCACTGCTTCGGGGGTTCAGGAGTTTGTAATCTTCGCACCCATCGTCGACGTCCTGCCGATTCTGCCAGTCTTCTTTTTCCTGCTTGCTTTCTTGTGGCAGGCACGGTGCCAATTGCGTGTTGCAGGGTTCCGCATGAAACGACTATATAAGCCACGTGTGTTAAAGTTCGATTATATTCACACACTCTTCACTGGTTTCTTAGACTGAACCGCAGGATTGAGCCATGCATTCGCAAAAACGTCCTACTTCGTTTGCACAGGCTGCTGTCGGCTTCCGCTGAGCTGCCTTGTCCAACAGCCTGGCCATGCTGCGTTATTGCCACAAGGCATCGCGCATGGAGCCGGCATGTCTCAAAGTGCTGCAAGTCGACCAAGTGTTTGCAGACACATGCAGATACTTTTTGAGGCACCTTTCAATTGTAGAAATGTTTGAGTCTTTGAGCCAGACCGGACAATTGCAAGTGTTCTCCAGGCGCATTAAAAGCTTCAATTTGGCGCAGAAACACTGCGCTGAATTCAGGGCTTGGGAGGGACATGCTCAGAGGTGCAGTTGTGCCCTGCTCGGTATCTCTTTCGAAGTACATGGGTACCTGCTAAGGAAGGCACAGTTCCCGGTCGTCAGATCCTCAGGCTTGTGATGCAGGGTGAGTGAGAACATGCTGAGCACATAAGCCCTCGTCTGCAAGAACCTGAAAGACCATCCAGGTTCTCGGTGGCAGTCACTTCTACTTGACGGATCACCACCATCATGCTGCCGCATTGCAACTTTCTGACGACGAGGCCGGATCAAGGCCGTCCTTTGGCTGGGTTGACATTCGAAGGAGACGTGCTCAGTGTTACTCTTCAGGATATTTTCGACATTGATATGAACATTCTGGCTCCTGAGCTGCAACATAAGACTCAAGCTGCCAGAGATTAGACATGAAAGCCTGTGATGATGCGTCGAGCCAAAGGTCGTTTGTGATCTTCGAAGTCTAGGCCGCAGCCATTCAGATCATGCGAGTACAAGAGTTGGGTCGAAAGCCAGACAGAGCATGAGGATGCATAAGCAAGTATACGCTCCAAAGCGTGGGTGTGTTTCGGGGGCATGACCCAAGATGCAGGCTCATGGGCGTAAGGGTATCGTGCCAAACTGCCATAAGGAGGAGCACCAACAAGCATTGGTTCTAGGGCGTGCTGCAGAAAGAGACACGGGGGAGGAGCCGACGCTCTCGATACGCCAAAGTTCCCCGTTGCTTCCATGCATTGGTTTCCTCTGCTAGGCCTTACCTCAATTTTGAAAGCTCAGCCTCACGACGTCATAATGCGTCATACAGTCAAGTGAGGAATTTCTGGGTCGGCTTAAGGGCATGCTGTTCCTCCCAGGCATGCTCTCTTCATCTTCCACGCGTGGAACTTGTATCCGTGTATCCCAGCGTTAACCAGACGCGTTCCCATGCGACAGGACATAACTGGTTCAGAGGCTCATGTCACATTGACAGGAAGATGAGCCAGCACAGGAGCCTTGACACTCGGGACCCATCGGAACACAGAATTCCTACCTGTATCTCCCCCGCCCGGGTCTCATGTCATCCAGCGAGCGTCGTCATAAACCGTCATCGTTCTACAGCAAATGCCGACAGACCACAACCGTAGCTAGGGTTACGGAGAACGTGAGCTCTTCTGCGACGACGACGCGAGGCACGAGGCCGAGTTTTACAGGACAGCGACCTGACGGCCAGATAAGAAGGAGGGAGCCGAGACTGACTGCAGGGCCGTCTCTTCTCCCTCGTCGCTTTCGAGGGGAATCTCAAACAGGCCCACATCTCGAAGGCCTCAGAGTGGAGATCAGTGGAGAGGCCCTTCAGGACAACGTGCGTCGCATGGCTCGCGACATGTAAGCCGGCCTTGTGATCCACTGAGTGGAATGAGAAAGCACTGAGCAACAACAACTACAGAACTAGCATTTCATGCATTTATTATCGGTAAATATCAGACTTCTTTCGGTGGTTCAAGGGGGTGTAAAGCGAAACTCCGGCTCCCTTCTCAGTGGAAAACTTTCACACCGCGTAGCCGCGTAGCCCATCCCGGCTCTGAATCCTCGACTCGTGTCGTTTCGATGTGCCGACTGAGTTTCCTCCAGATGATTGAATTCGGGGGCATCATGGGAAGTCGTACACCCGTACAAACCAAGACGGATCCCGAGAAAGCCCCCGGCGAAGAGCAGGGGGAGCATGTTCTTTCCAAGGCCCTCAGCCCCAGATCTGAGCTTTGTTGTGCGACTCCTTTGCGAAAATACACATACCCGGTTTGCGCGGTTGAGGGCAGGTTGGCATCTTTTCTTGCTTCTCTGTCCGTACAGTCGAGCCAGACAAGGGGGCATCATACCTGCCAAGGACCGGAGCGCAGTCCCGTGCGAAGGGCGCGGGGGTCGGGGGGGGGGGGTTGCTGGACCGCGCCTTCTTTCATGCCTGGTAGAGGGCAAGCAAGCCTGCATACACCGTGTGGGGGTGATCCAACAGCCAACACAGTCAGGAGAAGAGCGGGAGCGGGCGAGTTCAGAGAGTTTTCGTTTGTGCCACTACCGTGCCTGAAAAAGGTCAGATTGATCTACGTAAATTTGTCGTAAAGCGTACTGCCGCAAGCAGGTGAGGCTACATTCTGGGCAGAGATGATCAAGCGAAACTACGTTTACCTCGAGTCCCGTGAGACTCGGACCGAGAACTTATAGCCGACTTCATGCTCGCTTCTTTGATGCTTATGGATAGCCTCAAAGCATTCAAGTGCGGTGGCAACTTCAGAACGTGGTCGATGCACACGATTGCTTGGATGCATCACACTTGCACCTCGCCGGTGCCTCGTTCCTAGCCAGGAATCACCGTATGCGCTGCCGCACACGGTGGGTCCCGATGTGATTCCAAGTGGATGGAGACCTGGCAGCAGACGATTTTGGGGCTTAGAGCGGCGAGGCCCACAGACTTGCTTGACTTGCGTTGCCCAGGGCTCTGCAGGATTTTGAGGACAATCTGTGGCGGAGTTTGGCTGGCTTTGCTTCGCATGTGGACGATGCTTCATCGCGCTGTTATATCAAGTCCTGTGACGACTCTTGGAAGGCTCAAGAGTAGACATTACTACTGTTACAGTATATTGGGTTTACAATGGTTTACAAAATCTCACAATCATTTGCGTCAGGTGGGTGCATGGTCAAAAGCGGGGTTGCGCAATGTGGCGAGATGTGGCGTGCATGAAAATGCGATCTGCGTCGAAGACCTGACGGTAGCAGTGTCGGCACCATTCGCAACCCTACGGCAGCCGGATTCATGCACTTTGTTTCTCGTCAACAGCGTCCGAAGCTCCAACTTAATGTTCGTCGGGAGGCGTATTTTCTATTATTAATGTTTGCATTTTGTTTTGGATGCTTTGTTTCTTGGCGGGGGGGTGGGTGGGGGGGGGGGAGGGGCGGGGGGATGCAGGAAGGCGGGGCCTACACTGGCCCAAACAGCAAAATCTTGCAGGAAACCAGCACTTTATCAAATGGCAATGCACAAATATGAAATCAGGCACGATATAGTACAATGTGATGTATAGTACAATGTGATGTATAGTTTGCACGTATACCATAATCTATGATCTATACATATCTATCTACCTGTATATATATATATACACATCCATACATACACATACACATACACATA